TTTCTTGTGCAATTATCTGGGACACACGGTACGATGCTTTAGTTGCAGCCTTATTTTTATCGACTGTTCTTAAAAACATTGATTGTTGTCCAATTAACTGCTTTTTTAACTGTTTCAGATTCTCCTTTCTGGCGGCAGAATGTAGTGAGAATGATTTTTTAAAATTAGAATGTACAGTTTTATGATGTCTCTCAATATTTTCTTTTTTAGCAACGGAGACCGAAGTATTACATAACAAACACACATTTTTATCTTTAACTTCTGTAAAAAAGTATTGTTCTTCCCATTCCGAATGAAAGTGGTATGTCTTTACCTTCTTACAACTGCTTGCCATAATATTATTTTTTGTTGTTCTCTACTAACCCAACCGCTGGACGTTGGTTACGCGTTCAGTTTTAAACTAAGCGCAATGTCGCCGCGCCGTGCGTATTTATCCCGTTCCAAGCAATCCTGATCGTTCTCGAACACTAACGCGCTGGTCCGGCTGGTCGGTTCTAGCCGATTCTAGCTTGATGGCGTCAGCGGCAAATCGCTCACTGCAACGTTGCCGCTGTTTATGTTTAATATTATGACAATTAGATTTTTTTGAGGAATTTTCGGAAGCTTCTCTGATTATTGCAGTTTGTATTTTTTAAATTAAAATCGTTGTGAGAAATACCAGAATTGCCTCCGCGAGCTACCGGTAGCTCGCGATCGAAAGGTTTGCGACCACTGGTTTAGAATATAGCAACATTGGTAAATGATAAGAGAAATAAATATACCTAACAAGTTTTTGTACTATAAGTAAAAAAATGCAATAGAAACACGATTTTTTAGTCGGTTTGGGCTATTTACTTATACATCATCAGGGCATATAAGGGGTCTTAATATCTGATTTATAGGTTCTTGCAGTTATGTAATAATTGGCATTATTATTAGTAAAATCTAAAGAATCCACAAAAATCGCAGAAGTAATAAATGTTTTAACTAAATATTTAGTGCTGTCCCATTCCCTACTAGTATATTGGTGATAGTGATCTAACTTCTTTAAAGAATATTTAGAAATGTGTTTTTCTTTTTAAGTCCTATGATTTAAATCAGCAAAATATTTATTCTCCCATATATTTTATCAAGAAGCAGTATAGTTTTTTCATACATAATACGTACTGTTCAACTTTTTGCAGAAGTTCATATTTAAACATATTAACAGAAAACTCAATGTTTCTGTTTGCTAACCACTCTTGTATTTCAGCTTTGGATGAGCCCGTATTTGGTGTCTTAGGTAGTAACATTCTATGATATGAAGCATTGTCCATAACAATTAGAGAAGGTTCATCAAGGTTCTTTAGTAGTTGGTTTTCAAATCAATTTAAAAAATTGTCTTTATTCATTTCTCCAGGATAATCATTTAGTTTAGTTTTCGAAGAATATATAGCTTCGGCACTCTCAATAAATCCATTTTCGTTGCCAGCATTGAGTATAATATTACCTATAACAAAAATAATGTTTATTTATATAATAATATAATATGTGTCATGTTATTTTATTTTATTGCAATTTTTTATACTTCTACTAAAATTTAAAATGTAATGAATACAAATACAGATATACAAGGTGTCCTACATCATTATGTTCAAATTTTAGGAGCATAAAGTACACTTCTTTTCAAGTAAAACTAAACGCAAAAAATATCTTATTGATTGACTTTTTTTTCAAATAAAATATGATTTTAATTACGTTAAGACTGAATTTTGATTATTTATTATTTTTCAATAATGTATAGGCATGCAACTTTAAAAAAAGTAAAAAACGGTGTGTATTATTGCTGGTTTTTACTTGAAAAGAAGTGTACTTTATGCTCCTAAAATTTGAACATAATTATATGGGACACCTTGTATAATAGTAATAAAATGTAAATAAAAATAATTAAAGGAAATATTTAGCAGTACTTGTCCATATATAAGACTTACAATAAATCTGCATTACACGTTTAGTATCTAAATATATATGTAAGTCTAGGAATACCTACCTGAAAAGTACATGTATAATATTCAGTACAGCCAGAATACTAACGCCCTCATTTACTTTAAATTTGGTAAATCACCTCTTGCCATCAATTTTTGTAGTTCTAATACTTCTTCTGTCATCATTTTGCCAAGAGCGGTTCACTGTGTCATTTTGAAAAATCCATGTTTTATCACTGAAAATAAACTGATATAAAGCTGCTTTTTTTTGCATCTACATAATTACTTAAAAATTGAACTCTCCTTACAGCAATGCCCGGAAGCTCCATAAGACCATGTATGGGGTTTCCTTTTTTCGATTTGAAACCTAATTTTTTTAATACAATCCACAATGATGTAACACAGTCATTAAACATTTGCCTCTTAATTAGATTTTCTTTTAACGATTCCAACTTTATAATATGTTGTTCTGCAAATAAATGTATTTATATTAAGTACCTACTGTAGATATACAAATTTAAACTTTTATTAGAAACATAAATTATGATTGGATAAAAAAAATGTATCTCGTACTTACTTCTTTCATACATGTTATGAATTACATTTCGGATTCCACTTGTATCCAGTGTTATTGTGTTAGTAATGGTTTCTTCATATGAACGCTTTTTAGGTGGTGATAATAATAGTTCATTATTCTTGTCTGCTTGGGAAATACTACTGAGAGTAGAAATATTTATGTTTAGAGCCGCAGCAACTCCCTAAAAAAGACAAAAAAACAATTTTATATTTCTGTACATTTCTATAACTTGTGACTTACCTCTCTTACAGCAGTTAAAGGTAAAAGTGGTCCATCATTATCACGTTTTCGTTCAAAATAGTGGATTAAAGAAGCTATCAATTCCTTACAACGACTATTTAGTTTTTTAGACATTTTGTATATAAAAAATAAATGACAAATAATCAGCTTATTCACACAATGGTTGTTTAAAAAAAAAACAGTTTTTTATAAGTATAACTAGCAAAGCTTAAAAATACAGGCAAAAGAAGACAAAATGCACAATCGAAAAAAAACTAGTTAAAATAAACTAAATCAGTGAATTTTTTTTTAAAAAGCGATTGCAACAGCGCAACAAGGTGTACCAATTGCCGTAATGACATTTGAGCCGTCTAAATGCAAAACCCGCAAAATGCAAAAATAAAAAAAAATGAGATAGCACTGCCATTCTATAAAGAATGGTAAATTTTAAACTGTGTTAAAATATTATTTTTCAAAACAAGCCATTTCAATTAATATTTACAATCTAAAAATTAGTTTACTTTCAAAATATCGCCAACTGGAAACTTATTTATTTGCAAAAACCGCCAAGTATTAGTAACCAATAATAAAGCCATTTTTTATCGCGTGACCATCACGGCGAGCCCCTACGACGCACTATGGCGCAAAGCGACACCGTGCCACCCAAATTACTTTACACCTTATGGGGCCGTATCTGGACATTTTGTGAAATGGCCAATAATTCTGGTAAAATTCGTGCGCATTCCGCGAATGAGTACAAACAATTTTTGTTCAATGAAATTTTTTCCAATACTATCCTAACGCGCTTCCTGTTATTTGAAAATTATGGATGATTATGACCATTTCAAGGGTAATAGAAAATTTTTTACCGTATTCCAAGTAGAGAGTCTTTTAGGGTATTTGAAGACAAACATTTTCCCGTAAAAAAGTTTGGTAAAATTTCAATCTCGCGTACCTAAAAGCGTTTGGAAAACAATATTATCCATTAGGCCAAAAGAGCTTGTATCTGGTCGTCCTGTTAATAACGAAAAAAGAAATTCATCGAAAATATATTATCCAAGCATTTTGGAACTGATTGGAAATCTTTACAAAATTTAAAATTTTATAAGGATGTAATGGAGATTAAGGTTCAAGATTTACCAAGCTCTTCCACAATTATGGATGAATAAATTTGCGATGAAAACCCCGAAGATGACACAAGATTTGTATAAATAACATGTGTTAAGTTACTTTTGTTAGTTTTATTTGTATTTTTTTAAAAAAAAAGTTTTTTTAAAGAGGTATGTTTCAAACTTTTTAAAATTAAAATCTATTTATCAAGTTTTTAAAATACTTAAAATTTGTTGCAAAACCCGCCATTTTTCAAGTTAATTTTTCAAAACCCGCCAACTGCATTTTCTTTATCTAATTTACGGTGGTATGCGACCTCTTTGATTTATAGGATTAATGATAGTTATTAAGAAAGAGTATTCTACATTAACAAAAATATTAAAGTACATTACTTGATCGATAGTTTTAAGCAAAACAGTTTTTTCGTGTTTCCTCGAAACTACTTCGTTTGCACTTGGCGGGTTTTGCATTTAGAAGACTCATTTCTTCTCTGTAAATACGAGTCTCATGGGCGCACAGAATGTCAAAATTATGAGTACTAAACATATAATAATATTTTTATAAATTTTATATTATCAATAATTAGACATGTATAAATTAAATAACTGAAATAATTCTAAAATTATCAAAATAATTACCATTATATTTTTCGTTTTTTTTACGTTCGTAAATATTCGTGACATTTTCGGATTATTAGCTTAGTTAGGGGCATGTTAATTAGTTGGTAGTACTGTGTCGAATGACCGACGTCATTGCTGACGTGCATCTGGATTTGCATTAAAAATATAGTTACGTTTTCAGAATCGAATTAAAAAGATATGTACTATGTACATAACCCGCTATGTTAATGATGGTTGGTTAGACATGAAATATTTAACAAAAAAATTGTATTTGGTGCAAAATGTTTTATTTAAATTGCACGAAATTTTGCACGAAATACAATTTTTTTTTGGTAATTCAAGCTATGTGCACACAGCCGTTAACCGCTTTTGGTTTCTTTAATGAACAGCTACCTAGTGGGTCTGATTTTAACAATGTTGCTAAAGAGTTTTTGAGGTGTCATCATTTATATTTTTAGATTTTAAAACTATTTTTTATTTCTTAAATAATTTTGGTGTATATACTCGTAAGAAAATGAATTCTCTTTTCAGGTACGCCACAGGAATATCTTCAGCCCAATCTGGTCCAACATTCCACATAGCTTGGCTGCTCCTTTGGGTCCTCGTAGTTAAGTGGACCTCATTGGTCAGAATGTAAGAAGTAGGCTAGACATTTTATTGAAAGAAAGACACTTTGTGATTGTTTGAATTGATGTAAAACAGAAAAATATTCTGTAAGCAATTTAATAAATATTCATGTTATACACGAGGCAATCGATCAAAAATAAGGCCAGAAAGGTTTTGAACGTACACAGAATTTGTTATAAAAAAAAAGATACAGAAAAATAAGGTGTTTTAGAGGGTGTTATTTGAATTCAAATTAAAATGCTGTTGCTGCAGCTACACCATCGGATGTTTCACTAAAGGACAGATGTCACTGGGTGACTCAGAAGAAATGGTAAATATTTAGCTATATGTTCTGATTTTTAAAGTAATACTATTTTTCTAAACTAGTAAGTTATTATAAGTGTATGAGTGTATTATTTTGAGAATAGACAAAGAGTACGGTATGGAGGAAGAAAACTGTTCATTTTTATTTTTACCATTATTAGAAGTTTTTTCAAGTCTTTAATCAAAAAACATTTAATATTTAAACCGTTGGTTGAAATATGTATTATTATTTATCGCTGTATGTTTATTAAAAATAAGACATAAAATACTAAGCCAGCTCTAGTTAAGTGAAATTTGTTTTCTGATCAGCGATATATTACTTTCATAAATTGGTCACTTTAGTCTCTTTTTATACAGGGTGTTTCATTGGTAAATGGGCATATATTAACTGCATATGGAGGGGTCACCTAGGTGGTTCCAAAAAACCTATACTTCATGGGTCTGTCGCCCTTTATAACCGTTTTATCAATTTCTTTCTAGGCTCATAACTTTTGAAACGCGCTGTATATTTTTTTGATATTTGGTACACAAGTACACCTTAATTTGTTAAATTTAGTGACGTATTAATAATAGGGAAAATCGAGGTTCGGATTAACAAAAAATTTACAAATTTTTCGATACCTAAAACAACACCCTGTATATCATAATTTTGAATATCTGTTTACAGATTCGAAAGGAGCAGAAAAAACTGAGTTACACCAAGTGGTTTTAGTATTTCCGCATATAGTTTTCTTACTTATTAATTTGAGTCAAATCTAAGTGCATGATTAAAAGATGAAATAAAATTAAAAAAATATTTTTTTTTCTAATTAAGTATTTACTTTTCCAGTTTAAATTCATAATAATAATTAATCTCGTTCATTCTTTTAATTTTTGGATCTCAATATTTTAAAAAATGCAACGACAGGTCTGTATTGGGTATAAAATTCTTAAAATTCTAATTTCAATACTATCTAAAACGCCCTGTACTTGTAACTACAGTGTGGTAATATTTGTTAAAGACGCAAAATATTATACACATAAGAAAAGGTGAAAACACTCACATTTCGAAAAAAATCCCAATTTTGCTTTGAGACACAATTAGGGGGTAATCATTACAAAATATTATTTATTATAGGAAAGGAACTAAAAATAAGTAAGAAATAATTATGTAAAAAAATTTTAATAACACAATGAAAATGAAAAAAAATATATATAAAAATAACTATAACAGTTGCTTAAAGTGAACACCGTTTTGTTCAATACATTTCTGTGCTCTTTTAGTGAGATTTCGTATTGCTCTAGTAATCATAGCGCGATTATTTCTCAATTCTTGGCAGGCATCCTCGATTCTTTGAAGAAGTTCGTGTCTAGTATTTACTTCAGATGAATACACTTTCGACTTTTATTAACCCCAAACGTGATAATCAATTGGGTTAAAGTCAGGTCCCCTTGCAGGCCAGATTTGAGGTCAGCCTCTGCCCATCCAATGATTTGGAAAGTTATAGTTCAGACAGTTTCTGCTACCCTGAAATGAGGTGAAGCCCCATCATGTTGGAAGTACATTCCTGCAATGTCAACACCTGCATCATCTAGAAGTATGGGTAAAACATCTTGCAGGAATTCTAAATAAACCTCACCAGTTAGTCGACGTGGTAAAACATGCGATCCAATCAATCGGTTTTTAATAACACCACACCAAATATTAACAGAAAATCTTATCTGTGAGTGTGTTTCTCTTATGGAAAATGGATTTTTTTGGCCCAAATATGAGCATTTCTTGAATTATTAATACCCTCTTTGGTAAACTGAGACTCATCGGTAAATAAAGCACTTGTGTAATATTCGATTGTTTCTCAATACCCACCTACTAAAAGCCAGTTGAGGAATTTCATCTCCTTTATACAGCCTCTGCACTTGTTGTAAATGGTATGAGATTATTTTTTTTTAATTTTCGCCAAACGGTTGACGGAGGAACATTAATGGCGTCACTGATTCTTCTCGTGCTGATTTTTGGGTCGTCTTGGATCATTTCTAGAATATTTTGCTCCAAACCATGTTGTTCATTTTCTTTTGGTTGAGGTTGGGAATTTACCATGTTCTTTAAGGTAACTAAATATATTAGAAATTTTTTTGTCATTTGGCAACCTTCGACCAGGAAATCGGCGTCCATATTCCCTTCGAGCAGCTTTTCCGTTACCTTCACAGAATCCATACACATACAACATATCATTATTTTCAAATTTATGGGGCATATTGAGCAAGAAATTATCAAATAACACAAGTATAAACTCGCAAATTATGTTCCTCTGACAAAAATACACAGAACTGTCAAATTGTTTTTTTTTATACTACAGCCTATTTGACTATTACTTAAAATAGGAAAATCCAACTTAAATGGTATAAATCCGGACCTAAATTTTTTCTATTATTAATACGTTGACAAATTAAGATGTACTTGTGTACCAAATATCAAAAAAATATACGTTTCAAAAGTTATGAGCCTAGAAAGAAATCAGCAAAATTGATAAAACATCTCGGTTATAAAGGGCGACAGATCGATGAAGTATGGGTTTTTTTGAACCACCTAGATGACCCCTATATGCAGTTAACATATGCCTATTTACCAATGAAACACCCTGTAAATAGTTTTAAAATATTCTTTAAAATCTACAGAGTTCTGATATTTTTTATATATTGATTGAATAAAACCTCCAGAAACACTGTTCCAATAAAACAAACCTCTTGAACAATAATTACTTCTGTGTGCAGTTACTTTTGCTCTGCTAACCCGCAACTGCGAATTATCAAAATTGTCGCATGATATGCCAAATCCCTGGATAATATCCTTTATTTCTGTTCTTGTGCGGAAAGAAGCCCTCAGGGGGGCGAAAGCATAGATATTTTATGCAAATGCAGCGTCTGTTCTTCTGTTTTACGTCGATGCACTAAAACCGAAAAAGAGAAAGGTACTAAATATATAATTTCTGTTAAATAAATGTTACTGTTAAGTGAAGTCATAGCATAGAGAATCAAATTTTGCTCATTTTGATAATATATACATGACTAAACTAACTGGTAGTTACCTCTCTCAACAATTCTTATTATAAAGTGATTTTTTTGTAGAGAAATAATATTTTACCTATTTCACAAAATACAACACAGATCTAAGAAATATTGATTTGATAAATATCTATTAACGTTACAAGATCGATAACTGGCAAATTACGGAAGAGGCTAAAGATTGTAAACCGAGGCAAAAGACGAGGTTTACAATCAAGAAACTCTGTTAGAGTTGCATTTATGCTATTTTTGTTCCTAATATCCTTTAATTAAACCATACAATTATTGTTTATTATAACCATATTTTTAAACCATCAGTGAAAACTATATTTTTTCCTTACATAACTTTTTTTTTGTAATTTGCTAAGAAAAGTGGCCATATTTTAAGATAAACAAAAAAAAATTGACACATATAGATATATTGACATATAGATTTTTATATGCATTATTCAATGTAATCATAATTTTTTGTGGATACTAAAAACATCAAACTAATTTTTCTTATCTGTAAAAATATTGCTGGTATAGGTAATTTTTATTTACAGTGCGGTCCATATGTATGGAATAAATTCGTTCAAAGCGTCATTATTAATATAAAATTGACAATTTATAGTATGTATGTATTACTCCTCTTTAAAATATGATTAGCCCTCAAATATTTTAAATTAGAAAGGGGCTCATGCGGCACCTCGTTTGAAAATGATTTAAATTCTCTATTCAACAATGTAAAGTTTTTTAAAATTTGGTGCACTCATAAATGAAAAACCCAATTTTGAAATTGTAAAATTTTGTTAATGTCTTAGTTTGGGTATTTTCTTGCAAAATTATTTGTTTTAAAGAAAATTTTAATCAGACCTACTCTTGTTTTACACTTTTTTATACAAAATATTATCAACAAGTATTATCAGTGATTTGGAGTGAGGGTAGCCATATGTGAGTAGTAGGGATTAAGTGTAAAGGTTAAAGAAAAGGTCCTTTATTTCTCACAAGTCAATTTATTGGCGACCGGTTTCGAAGTTGTCACTTCATCATCAGGCACACCTAAATGGAATGTCAAGGAGTCAGTTGTAATAAAAACAATTATAAAAGCATGAACGGACTTGTATATGTTAAATTAAAGAAGATTTTCCTCCGACCAGGTCCCTCTCAACCCCTTCGCTTTGTAGCTCGGCGTTTCTAAAAAAGTTTACAAAAATAGATACTAGGAAATGACGCGCGTCATATCACTTTATCACTATTTTAATTATGAAATAATTAAATAATAACAAAGACCAACATGAATAAATCCACTTTATTTTATTAATCTTAGAAGGCCTTCAATGTTATAAAATTCATAAAATCAATTAACAATCTAGAAGGAAACATAATACATAGCTTTCTAAATAATGCTTCTACGTGTACTCATCTGATTCAGATGAAGAAAATGCGTGCTCTCTTGGTAACGATTGGCTCAACACTGATATCCTTGCTCTCTCTGTGGTTACCAGCAATGGAACTAAAGGTTAATTATATCTCAGAAATCACACACAAAAAAAAGTGATGTTAAATGATAAAACAGTTCTGGTCATTCTTATCTAAATTAATAACAAGTGGAGGCTTCCCTATCCCACAAATCCTGTATTCTTTTTTTCAGTGAGTTGAACTGTTCTCAGCCAAATATTAAGATTTGCTTTTTCTAAATCTTCGTTTCATATAGCTAGTGCTTTTTTTGCTGGAGTACTATCCTTTTCCACATGATTGCTTTAATAATTTCAGTTAACTAGTTCTCTATACTAGTTTTTTTGAAAGCTGTTATCCGCACTTTATTGACTACCGTTCTATGGTAACTGGAATTATCCATAATAATTTTTGCTGAATTAAAGAATGAAGTGTCTACAACCCCCTTTTTATTTAAATTTATTTTAAATGGTAATCATAATTTAGAGATGATGACATTGTCTTATTTAAATTTAAAATCAACTTGTTTCAGGTTTTTCTTCAAATGTTGGTATGATAACGCCAAAAACGAATTTATTCCATATAAAGGGTGTCGCAGACTAATTGAACCTCATAAAGAGATATTTAAGAGATTTTCTCGGGCGCTTCATCGATCTAATATATTTTGGCTAGCCAGCAATTTTCGGTTATACTAAAGATGTTTCCCACTTGATGTTTAGTATACATGGACATATACATTTTGACTAATTATTAATCCAGGCTATAACTTATAAATTAATAGAGTTATTCAAGTGGAACTAAAACTTATCCTTACCATATAATTTTTTGAGACATTTTAATATTGCGTAGAAGATTAGTTTTCTACGTCTTAATTTTATTTCAACTGTACCACGTTTGGAAAATCACCCTGTTTGTGGAAGCGCTTCAAATACTCAAAGTTTGGTTAAAGTTTTGAATTTTTTTATTTTTTTTTTTGTATATATTATAAAACCTTAACTCTTGCTGTAACTTAGGTTTATAAGCAATAAACGTATTATTATTATTATTATTATTATTATTATTATTATTATTATTATTATTATTATTATTATTATTATTACTCAAAGTTTGATTCAGTGGTAATGTTTCTATTTTTCTATTTTTAAATAATTCTTCATATGGTATATTACATTAGGAGTGTAAAAAGTGACATTTTCACACGAGTATGAAATATTGTTGCACGAGGCATAAAAAATCACTTTCACACAAGTAATGCACAATATTTTTCTACGACCACAAAATAATTTTATCAAAAAAATGTAAAACTGGAAATTCTGGCTATAACGGTTCCATCAAGATGTGGCAGGTTTTAGATTTGTTTTTATATAATATGCCTTATTAAATAATTTTTAAAGCGTTTTACAGTATATTTGTTTCATTCCATTTACAAACAATTTAATAAGTTAATAAAGATAAAATAACGTTAGGTACAGAAAATATTAGAATACCTTAATGTTTTTTATTAGTTTATTTATTTTCTTTTTTTTTTAATGAGTTGAACAACCGATCTGCGGTATCACGTTTTTGTTATTTGACTTATCTAATTAAATATGTATGTGAATCAGGATATTGTTGTTACTTACTTTAAAATTCTTTTAATAATTTGTTAAAAAGAAGTGTCTAAGATCTATATTTAAAAATTAATAATAATAATTTAATTATCAAATGGATTTTATTAATAAAATGGATATTAAATCAATCAAAATAGAAATTAGACATTTGACACCTTATGAGGAAAGTGGATTCATATTTACACATAGGTGGAAAGTAGATTTATCCATACGCATGTGACATAGGGCACTTCTTATAAGACTAAATAGTGCGATAGGTGTCACTTTTTTAAGTGGTCGTAAGAAAAATAGGTACATCAAATTATTCTTCTGGGATAAATAAATATGGCATGTTAAAATAAAGTGCAAAATTACAACACGCACTATTATATTCAATGTCAAATTATAATTGTTTTTTATTAAAAGGCATCATAAAGTCATGGCAATGTTAATCTAGTTAACATTAAACAGCTATTTTCTAGATTATTTATGAACCGATTATAATTTTTAAAAAGTGATTGGGTAGGTGATGAAAAACTACATTCAAAACTATGAAAATATATACAAGGTGGTAATTAAAATTTTAAGCCAGGGATTGTCACTAAGGCGTAAATATTTAGGAGATGATTTCTCTATGACAATGAAAAATGTCCTAAAAATAGTATGATCTGGACTAGTTTTTTTTTACTCGAATATCTCTATTTGTTTGTGAGATATTATCTGGGATAAATAGTTTGGAACATCCTGTATACATCAAAAATTACAAGTATGATACACCGTAAAAATCAGCTCGTCGAGGGTGTTTCATTTAGAACAAAAAAGTTTTGCGTCACTTCTGATATAACCAAAAAAGACTGCATATTCAAAAAGCGCTCAAAAAATTCCCTCGTTCCAAATTTTATCTTGATTATCTCTATGAGTTTATGAGATATAAACCGTTTGAATAAGTCTGGGACACCCTGTATATGTACCGAACTGTATATATGTTTTAAAAGTATTTTTGTTTATTTTTCTCTACAAGAAAATCCGCCTATATAGTTGTTAATTATTTAAATCAGGATATCAAATTATCAATACATAAAACTAAAAAGTTGTATTATTATTTTGTAAAATATGCCGGAAAAACTATTATTTTAATAAATTT